CTGGGGCTCGGTTTCCACCAGCTGGGAAATACCTACATAAGAAATCTCTCTGAAATAAGGAATGTTTCTGAAACTGGCAAAAGTTAAAAGTAATTGCTGTGATCTTCTTTGACCTAATCTACTAGGAATTTGTGTGGATTTACTTCCCTCAGCACAGCAGTCTTGTGTCAATAATGTTGGCATGAACATATGGAATGAAGCTGACTTTCAATAAACAGCCAACAGGTCCATCAGGATGGCAGGCGAGAGCCCCCTCTAAGTACGCTCTACCTTTCCTCTAGAAAAAAAGAACTCCTGTCACTCCAACACTAAGGGTTGTTTTTTATTTTTGCTTCATTAAAATTAACTGTACAGCTGGGCTATATTTGTTGTCCATAACAATTTCCACTATGTCGTTTTCTTGTTTAGTTAAAACAACTGGCAGTAATAAAGTAAGGGCAGGTGAATGCATTACTATGGTTCCTGTTTATAGTGCAGAATAACAGGCACAGAAAGAGCACAGAGACAGGAAGGTCACACTCCTTGCCAAGGAAATTTGTATCTTTTAATTCAGATTTTGATGTTAGTTGCATTGCTCTTTCTGATCATCCTTGGCTGGACATGCAAGTTAAATTATGTGACTGTATCTCCAATCACATTTTTTGCTTTCCTTCTTCTAAATGTTACATGTCTAAACCCAGAAAGAAGAGCATTCCGAAGTCACGGGATGCAGCAGATACAACCTCACTCAAACTTCCTTAGAAATGAAAAATCTGTCTGGCTTGTGGTTTTGACTGCTACCTCTGATGCAGAGAGAAGAAAAGCACTAAGTGTTCTTACAGTTGCTGATTTATCATCTCCGTAGTCTGCAACTGCATTTGGTCAGATATGAGGTAAAATAATGTTTTTGTAGTAACAGATTTATTTCCTCATTAAGTGAAAGTTCACTGTGTGTCTACGGTTTGCTAGATGAATGCTTCCACTCCTCAGCTGCCTTGTCCCACCTAACCCAGGTAGGGCCAGGACAACACATCTGTCTCCAGAGACATTAGGCACAATCCCTTCATAAACCCTCCACCTGACAGGTTGTTGTTAGTATAAGGAGTACTGCAGGTGCTAGAAAAGATCAGCAACAGAAGATGCTTTACTGGTAAATATAAAAATGAAGGGTCTTGTTTCCTCAGTCTGTCCAAAACAGCCTTCGTGGTAGCAGGTGTGCATTTCTTGGACATATTTAATCTTATGCAGCACACATTTGGACTGCAATGCTGTAGCAGGCAGAACCCAAGCCACGGATTTACCTTTTTTCCCCCTTCCCCTGTTCACACAGATTGTTACTGATTTTGTCCAAGTCATTCACACTGGCAGGGATCACTCAAGCCAAAGGAAGGAAACAAGAGAAACTTTTTTTAACAAGGTATCATGCACAAATAGGAAGTGTTTGACTTTTGGTGTAAATTAGTTATATTATACAACATAAATATAATATAAATATATTAGTAAAATATAATATAAACAAAGTCTCCCTTCAATTTTAGCATACAATTTCTACCAATAAACTTTGGTCTGAGGAAAGCAACACAGTAAAGAAATACCATTTTTTCTCAGTTCTGCTTGAACATTCTGATAGCCAAGGATATGTGAAAATTCCCTTTGTTATAAATAGTATTTAATTTTTGTTTTCTCCAGGCTGGAGATATTGCACATCGTTTCTGCCCTTTCATCCAGTTATTGATCCACCTTATCAGCACTACCTCAGTCATATTGGACAGAGTCAAAGAGACTCACAGGAAGAAAAACTGTTACCTAAATGAGGACAAAGAAGAAAAGTTTCTCACTTTCCTTTTTACTTTACTTCATTCTCTTTCTTACCAAGGAAAAGTTCAAAAAAGACTTTGGCCCTGAAAAAATTCACAGACACTTCAGCAAAGAGACAAAATAGTCTGCTGCGGCACTTTCTGGGAACAAGCAATTACCTAACATTTTCTTCTGCCAGAATGGATAACACAGATCCAGATGGACCTTCTCATCTCTAACTGTCTCTATAATAAAGACCGTGCTAAAATTTTCATAAAAAAGGCCCAGATATATTCTGTTGTTAAGAATCCTGAAGGCTTCAGGCAAAACCGAAATGATTAGCAAAAGAAATTTGACTGCTCTGCATGCAGCTTTCAAGTATATATTGGCTAAATTTACATAGTGGCCCTGTCATTTCTAAGTCATTCCATAGCATATAGAATATTTCATGCCCCTCTATCCCTTTATTTAAGTGAATTTATTGAGTATCCATGCACGCATATGAATGCGAATTTTTTTAAGAAGTTTATATACAATCACGCTGAAATCAGCTGCTAAAGAATATGGCCAGTTTGGTTTTCTTCCCAAGCCCCCTAAGAGTCACACCACAAATCAAGTCTGTTTCCCAGAACAGTTTAGACAGTTTGTCTTGATCTAATAAGATGGAGATCAGTCCAGAAATAAGCTAAAATTCCCATTGTCTTTGTGGACATACAGAAGCTAGCTGGTGCTAGGGAATGCGCCTTCAACTAGCTCAAAGACTGTTGATCAGCTGTGCCTGGCAAAGCATAAACAACACACTGCAAATATCCGGTATATGTGCATTTTGGCAGGTGAACATGAGATTGTAAGTCTTCCATTCTTTGTCAGTTCTGTGCTGGGACCTTAAAGGACTGGTATAAAGGATGCAAGGATGCAGTAAAAACTTCTCCTATTTCCACAAATGTCTGCATCATGGCCATGAGCAATTGGCCAGCACCAAAGGGGAGAGCTAATTAAAATCAAAATGGAAAGATGAAAGAAGTTAAATTTAAAGTTTGGGCAGAGAATATGATTAATGCATTGAATTTTAAATAAAGAGACATTAGAATAATTTTTTTCATCCTCATTCTTTTACTTTAGGGAAAACAAGGGTTAGTTCTTTAAACCATCATTACTGTTGCTCTTATTGTTTCACTAGGATAACAGAGGTGTGAAATGCAGAGGGTGGGTGAAAGGGAATTCTTGGATGAAATTGTAGCAAGGAATATTCCAATTGGATACAAGGCAAAAAAATCCTCATTATGAGGGTGAAAAGCTCAACTGGAAATGCTCAACTAAGCAAACGGGTCTAACTTTATCTTGGCCATGTTTGAGTTGGGACAACTGCTTCAAATGTCCTTCAGAGGTCCTTTCCAACCTCAGTTAGTCTATGGGTATATGTGTGTGGCCTGATAGCAGAAAGTCTTGTATATGTATGGAGATCATTAAAGCCAACTGACTTTGAATGAAATCTGAGAAAAGACAACATGTTTAGCCAGGTTAGTTTTGGTACAAGACTAAAAACTCATTTTGGAGGAATGACTTCATCTGAGAGGTGTAAAAGCTCTCCATTTCCTCCTCTCCAGTGTTCTAACAAACTATAAAGAAAAATCATTTGCCAAAACTTAGTCTTTATTAATAAAGGAAGCAAGGTATATAAAAAGAATAAAATAAAATAAAATCGATTCTCTAACAAGAAAAAACCAGAGGTTATGCAACAATGCACTTTGGCAAACTTAACTTCGTATTTGATGCTGTGGGTACAGAAAGATAAGAGGAACCTTAAGAGCTGAGACTTTGTTGTATAACTGAGAAAAATTACTTTCAAAGTATTAACAGCAAGGAGAAATCTTAGATGACTTGTAATAAAACTAGTTCTTGAAAGAGAGCAAAGGCCAAGCTGAGTTGAATTAGAGCCTACCACCATTTCTCTAGTGGTTCAGAAAATGCCTTCCCTGCAGATTAATTTCTGCAATTGGAAGAATTCTTTTGAACATGGTCATTGAAAGGGTTGTCTCCCTGAATACAGAAATAGAAACAGCTGGTCAGACTCCGGAAATTAAGGTCTTCAGGTTAGAGAGGAATCTTACAGTTGCCCTAAGATGCCTCCTGCACAAATCCTACAGCTGATAAAAGACTGGCCTAATCATATCTGAGCCAATTTTCCTAGCCCTTGGCAGTACAGTGGGCAGATCAGATTGGAGACGATGTTTCAGGTCCAAATGAGATTTAACTGAAAAGCTGCAACATAATCCCTCTAAAGTCAACATTAATTCTGAGACTAACAATGAATGCCATTTCTGCTGTCTCTTTCCACACTGATAATTTTTTGCCAAAACATACCACCTCTGGAACTGCAGTCAGACCTATTTCAGCAAACACCGCCTCTGACTGCAACACACGTAAGTAACTCTGCATCCCAGGCTGACTCAGACCTTACTCATCCTCACTAGGGAGCCAAGTAGGGAGCCAAGATTTTGTGCGATTTCTGCTCTAGTTCAGAATATCAAATAGGATTGGACATGTTTTGAAGGTGCAGAAAAACATGGGCTGCATAATTAAACTCTGTGAAAGTTTAACACATTCAATTTGTACTCTGTTGCTATATCCGCTCTTTTGCCCTTTGCAGTACTTACTCCAGTTAAGTTTGTCCTGAGAGTAGAGATTTGCCTCCAAAGAAGAAACAAATAATGTAGAGAAAACCATAGAAAACTTATCTGTTAGAGACTCACCCATCATTTGTAAGGTGTAAAGGTGTCAAGGTAGCTTCCTGAAACTCTGATTAATTGATAACTTTGCAGCCTATTAAGCTGAACGCTGTTTGGGGCAGGGGTCATATCTTTTCACTCTCTGGGAAGCATCTGATACACACTGTTATACAAATAAAAATAACGAACCATCACAGTGGTAACTAACCTGATATTCCCAGATGCTTCTTAAACAGGTGATTAGGGTATATCAGACAGGGACATGATTTAAAACAGAACAAAACCCTCAACACTCTGCCTTTTGGAATTGATTTTCTTGTGACCATGATGTCTTTTCCTTGCACACGCCAACTAGTGTTATTGCTGGTAGGACCACTGGAGGTTGAGCATCACAGGGTACTACTCAGCAGGAGAAAAGGCAGTAACCTCCTGTCCCAAACCCATTTAACCTAAAACAGAAAAGAGACTGTGGTGTGCGTTACATGGGTTACTCACGGCTCAGCTTCGATGCTCTGGTCAGCAGCTATGTAGTTGGCAGGGATGTAGCCCTGGAGCTTGCGGCCAGGACAGACTGACCCTGTTGGCAGGAGGAGTCTAGCATACCACCAGCCCTCGTGGGATGCATTCAGCACTTCAAGCTTATCCCCGGCTCGGAAGCTCAAGTCCTCCTCAGTGCGAGCCTCGTAGTCGAAGAGTGCCACAAATCTGCAAATATTCACCAGATGCTGGCCAGGCAGTGGAGGTAAAGGTTTCTCTTTTATCCTACTGTCTCCATCTTTCTGTCCTGCTTGGAAGTCATGCCTTACCACAGCAAGGTTGGCGAAGACTTGGCCAACTTTCTCATCCTGCTCACTGTCTCTCCCCGAGAATAAGCACGGGATGTAGGGCTCCAAACAGGCACAGTGCTTCTGACAAAAGTTTCCCATCCTGTTTCTTTGTGCCTTCCTCTGCTTCTGCTTTTCTTTCACTTTTCCCAGTTGCAATACCCTTAGACCAATTTTTGCACCATCAACATTTTAGCTCTTTGCAGGATTTCTTCTCCTCGTCCTCCTTTGGCACAAAATGAAACAACTCTTGGCACAGCTGGAAACTCCTCTCCAAGCCCCACCGAGAGCTCATTACAGGTGGCTCCTGGATCGGGAGTGAAACTTGAGCATCCAAGTGCCGGAGCACATGAGGAGGGAATTTCTCACTTCCTCTGCCGAAGAGGAAAGCAACACAACAGCTGGGCTGGGCTGAGCTCCGGGAACAAGGGAGCGTGGAGCCTTTTCTCCCGCAGCAAAACAACAAAGTCAGAACATCTAAGCAGGGGAGGCGTCTCAACTCTTACTGCTTGGGATGGGTGTTTTCTTATCTCAAATGGGGTCCTGTCATATGATCAGCAGTAAACAGTGAACGTCTGTAAGGGCTGTCTTGATAATGATTAACCAAGCTGACCTGCCTGTTTCCTTAGCAGTCTCCAACGTGGACAGCTTGAATATTTCTTTTTGTTTCCTGGTTTGTGCTGGTTTCGGTTCTCAGTAGGAAGCCTTTGCTCGCCCGAGGCTGGCAGACACCCTCACCTGGAGCACACCTGCGGCTTCTGCTCTCCCTCACACCTGGGTGCTTTCCACTGCTGAGCACCCGCCCCTCAAACCAGTCCTCTGGCTTTTTTTTTTTTTTTTTTTGAGCTGGGTTTGGTACTTCTTACAAGGTAAAATAAATATATGGGGCTTACAGTAATACGGTAATAGATTTTAATTCATTCCTTATTCTGCTTTTTAAGGAAACAAAGGCACTAGCCAAAAAATTGCTATAGGTGGTCGGCTAATTATACCAATCACATATAAAAATAATGTCTGTCTTCCAGTCACCAAGTAAGCCAATGAAACTAAGTTGACCAGTATGTTTCTGTTTCTAAAGTACCTATAACCTGGCATACAGACTGAGCACAGGTGTCTAGATACTGCTGTGGCAAAGCAGCCTGGAAAGGCGTCTGCAACATCCCAGCAGTGCAGCCCAAGCTTTGTAACAGCTGGAAATCACCACAGCTTGGGGGACGTGTAATGCTTGGAGCGGGAGCAGGAAGCACAGGAGATAGCCTGTCTGCATCATGCGGTGGCATTTCAGTAAGAGGCAAACTCTTGCGGATAATCAAAGTCTTACAGTCAATCAAAAACCACACATGGACTTATAGCTTCCTGGTGATAAAGAAAACTGCCTCCCATTTTTTTTTTCTTTTTTTTTTTTTTTTGTGTGTGTCAGGAATAACTGCTGTTTTCCTTAACCATTCACACATGTCTCTCAGCTCCATTTGGAGTTGCTGACTTCTGCTCCTTTACTTTACTAGAAAAAACCCCAACTAAATAACTTAGAATCCAAAGCCACTTGTTTTTACCATGTCTCTCAGTCAGTTCTTTGAATGAAAAGACCAGTGGCACAGGCAGAAGCCTACGGATGGATTAGGGACTGCAGGATGACTGCAAGAAGTCTCCACTGAAAGTTTATCGCTATCAGGTGCATCTCCACTGAGAAGGATGGGGAACTGCTTTCTCACTCCTCTTCTGCAATGCTGCAAAAGAAACTGAATAAAGTATGATACACATTAAGTGATCACTAAACCTCATAATCTGTAGTGAACCCTTTGGGTCTGATCAAAAAATAACATGTTGATTTTGCAGATTATGAAAATCCTACTTAGTTTATGAAGCACCACTGGAGATGATTGTTCCCCCCAGTAATTATTAATTACTACCTATATCAATAAGAACACAGGTATCCAAGAGATATTTACTTTTCTTAGATCTGATGGACAATATCCAAAGTCAGGAAAGGCCTGTGTTGAAAAAGAAACTATCTTCATTAGTCTTGCTTCAAGAATTAACTATATTTACTGAAACCAGAAAATATCAGAAAAGATGTATTAAATAACCTGTTTTTTTCAGTTCACATATTTGATAGTTTTCCTGTAATGTTTTGTGGTTCTGGTAACCTGGGCATTAATCTGGCAAAGATTTGCACACACGCTTACTGCAGAGAATAGTTCCATCATGACAATGGAGCCACTTACGTTGTACAGAATCAATTTCATGCACAGCTCTTTTCAGGATCAAGACCCATCTTTACACTCAAGTACCAATATACATACACATTAGAAAGCACACTGCATTCACTGATAAATATTTATGACTGTAGCTAGAACGGGGCTTAAGTCTACAAACATTTGTGTGTATGAATATCTTATATCAAATCAACCCAGGTATTAAATTCATCTTCTCTCCCAATTTATGCCCCTGCTTGGCTTTACAAGACCAGAAAGACTTCTGCTGCAAGTGATCCATAACTATAAATCAGATTACTTTCCTCCCAACCAACTCTTCAGGATCAGTTCTATTTATGAAACAAGCAGACTTTAACAAATAGCCATGAAATTCGTTAGCCAGATTTAAAACTCTCCCCAAAAAGAGAGAGGAGTGGGGTTGCTGAGAACTACTGAGCAGATTCCCAAGCCCATGTGGGGCAAGACTGTGGCTGAGCTGTGGTGGCCACACTGTAGCAGTGCCGCTGCAAGGGTCTTTTTTCCCATCCTGGTGACTTTATTGAGGATTCTCTGCATTTCTGAAAATAAAGCAGTACTCTTTTTTGTATTAGACACTGTATAATTTTATCACAGGCAAGAAAAAATGAAAATGTAATAAAAATGTTCTTGCTGGTTTTACTGAAAAAAATAAAATCTGATAAATCCCATAATCCTAATTTTCATGCTCACAGTTTGGAACAAATGAGGATAATCATGTATATTCAGGGGCTTTTCAATATAAACTATTGTCCACGTCCTCTGCACTGGTATTACATATAATTTAACAGGATAATCTTTGCAGCACCTATGTCAGGGCTTAATTTAGTTCTTTTGCCTTGCATCCCACTATATTTTCTGTTCGTAAAAGGAGGCCAAACAGATCTGTATTGCTTACTGGCCTTCTGTATCTTTACTTAATTTGTTTTGGAGACTGAGTGTCAAACCAGAAATTGTCCAAATAAATAAGTTACTGGATGTAAAGTGACTGTGAAAGACTTAATCAGATATATTGATGAATTTTATTAGCAAAAATGCTTTGAGAAGGACACAAGAGTCTCACCTCATTCTTACAGCCAGCAATAGCTAGGGAGAAAGATGAATTTATTATGAACAGAATGGCATATTTACAATATGGATGCTGAAATTTAGTATTCTGGTCCCTATATTATTAAAAAAATCATTAATATTGCAAGTGGTTTCCTGAAATATGCAACACCTTAAAACAAAGATGAATCATTTACAATCTGTGTCTGACAGGATCATATAAACTTAGATTTTAGAAAAGGAAACAAATCTATTAAATCAAGTAGTACTGTCCCCCTTCAAACTAGGTAATTCCCCATTGTTTTTGAAGTATATTTCCTTGTTCCATAAAGAAAAAAGTCCACACTGATGCTATAGGTATGAGGATGACGGATATCTGAAGTTACTTTTTATATTCTATATGTTGCTTACAAAGTCCTATATAAGGAAGGCTTTTGCAAGGAGCCTTACACCTGCTTAAAGGATTAATTTGCAGTCCTCTAAATCCATATAAATCAAATTCTAATTAACTTAAAGTCAATATTCTTTAGGCTTTGTTTATGCTACAAAACAATCATGTTTAAACATGGTGGTGAAACATATTTCTCTTAGTCCCCTGAATGGGCAGAAAAATAATGTGTTAATATGATATGTTTTAGTAAGCCTAATACAAACCTAATCTGCAACACTGATATTAATTGAAGTGCTCTTGGAATGAGGTACTGCTCCGCATGAATTGAGGTATCAGACTGAGTCGTATTAAATAAGTACAAACAAGATTTGAATCCATAATATTTCAAAAGTCTTGTTTTGATAGAATTTTTGTTTGTGTTCCATGCTTTCAAAAACCATTTTGTATGAGTTTTCATTACAGATATTTCCTATATTTATTGATTTGTATGTGCTCTGTATGGAACTATTGGTATAATTACATAAAACCTTACAGTTTTAGAAAAAATGAACCCTCCTCTACCTCATAAATATGCTGCTCCATATTTCAGAGACAGGGACTGAACATCACTGAGCATCAGGCTTTGGTACTGATGATACATGATGTTTGAAACAATTCCCTTATGCCATGCAGCAAAGAATTACAGTCAGAACAGTACTCTGCTGGGGAAAAAAGAATATTCCAAGGCAATATCCACCAACAGTTTTGTTAAGAAATATGAGTCAGTTCAAACTGGAAATGGAAGAAGAGAATGGTTTTTCTTAATGATAAGATGAGACCACAACACAAACATTTTTCTCTGCAATTTTTTCAAATTTTGTAAACAGCAAAAAACTCCATGTGGGAAAACAAGAAATTAAGATACAAAATACAAGAATCATAATTAAATAATGTATGAAACTGCTGCCTGTAGCATCACTTTCTATATTGTATAATCTTTTTGAAGTCAGTAGTTATACTGCTGCATTAATATATGCTAATTTAAATATTTGACATAATATACCTCGCTTAGAAAAACTTCTTAATGCATTCTGATAAAGCAAGTCAAATGTTCCAGCAAAGTAAAATATTCGAATAATATGGTCTTTAAACAAATTAGAAGAAAAGCAAATGCATACTGCTCTGAATCTGTGCTTGGAAAATAATTTAAATGATTAAACATTTTAAAGTTGTGTTGTTTTTTTAAGGTACCAAATTGAAATGAAGCACAGTGATTTTTTTATTACAGCTGTCTTTTCATCTATATTTCCTTCCACTTGCACATTAAAATGGAACACATTACTACCACTTTGTAGCTTTTTTATAATCCTTTTAATCAGCACTTCCATTTTGCTTCTGTAATTTGCAAATTGCCATTCTTTTCAATGAAAATAAATTATGTGCGTAATTTTACT